TATATTCATATATATATATATATATATATATATATTCATATGAATTATTTATATTTGCATACACCCAACGCGTCCACACATACATATGTACACATGTTTATATATATATATGCACACATATATACGCAAACACACACACATATATACATATATGCACACATACATATATATATATATATGTACATGTTCATAATTTACATGCGCATATTCATGTGTCTACACAATTCATATATACACATATACGTACATATGTATGTTTGTCAACATGCATATATATATACATACATACACACACGTATATATATATATATATATATATATATATATGTATATATATATATGTATATATGCATATGAATACACGCACACATATGCACACACCTTCATATACATATACACACATGTGTACAATCTGGTATAATATACACATACGTAACCTACACAGGGTACCTTTGAGATCCCTAAGTAGCAAAGGATTGCCCAGGATTCTGATGATCCCTAAAGGGATTCTCAGGATTCCGTAGGAATCCCAGGGCATCCTTAAAACATCTCAGGGGTTTCTTAGGAGCCCCAGGGATTCCTTAGTAGTCCTAGGGATCCCTGAGAGGTCGTAGGGATTCCTGAGGAGCCCCAGGGATCCCCAAAAGTGCCCATGGATTCCCATGAATTCCTAAGGAGTCTGAGGGATTCCGAAAGAGTTATGGGGATTCCGCAGGAGCCCCAGGGATTCCTTAGGATTCCTTCGGGTTCCGTAGGGGTTCCTTAGGAGTCCTAGGCATACCCGAGGGAGTCCCAGGGATTCCTGAGGATTCCTCGGGAGTCCCAGGGATTCTTGAGGAGTCCGTGGGATTCCTCAGGTCTCCTATGGGATGTTTAGGGATGACCGCGGATTCTTGAGGATTCCTAGGGATCTCGAAGGAGTCCCAGGGATCACTCAGGAGTCCTAGGGATATCTAAAGAGTCCCAGGGATTCCTACAGGATTCCACAGGATTCTTAGGGATTCCTTAGGATTCCTAGGGACGCCTTAGCATTCGTGAGGATTCCATAGGATTCCTAGGGATTCCCCAGGATTCCTAGGGATACCTTATGAGTCCCATGAGGTGTCACAGGATTCCTTAGGAATCCCATGGGATTGCTTAGGAATCCCATAGGCTTCCGTCGGATTCCTATAGGCTTCCTTAGGGATCCTATAGGATTCCCATAAGATTCCATAAGATCCCCATCGGATTCCCGTAGGATTCCTTGGGATCCCCTAGGAATCCCCGAGGGATCCCATGGGACTCCTGAGGCATCCTTAGGAATCCCAGAGGATTTCTATAGGCTCCCCCTAGGCATCCTATAGGATTCCCATAGGGTTCCCATCGGATTCCTTGGGATTCCCTAGGAATCCCTTAGGGATCCCATAGGATTCCTTGGGAATTCCATAGGATTCCCCAGGAGTTCTATAGGCTTCCTTAGGGCGTCTATAGGATTTCACAGGGAGTCTGCGTTCCGGAGGTCGGCTCGGCTGCGCGCGCATGGTTTCAGCTCGTGGGGGTGCATGGGCTGCCTTAAGGAGCCCACAGGATTTCCAATGCGAAGCTCGAGGTCCGCTTGCTGGTTGCTGGTTGCTGGTTGCTGGGGTGGGGCGGTGCTGACCACGGGGGCTTACGTCAAGGGTTGTCCTTAAGGACAAGCATTGACCCAGCTGCCCGGTGAACGGGGGGTTAGGTGCACTGTCGACCTTCTTGTTGTTGTTGTTGTTGTTGTTGTTGTTGTTGTTGTTGTTGAAATCCCATTTGCAAATACAACCCCTTCAGTAGCTCATGTGTTTTCAATGACAGTGCTTCTCCCGCGGCTCGCACCCGTCTTCTTACGAAGAAAATGAGCGGTCACCAAACTGGGTCCCTGGCCCCCTGGTTTACAACAGCAGCGGCTCCCCCCTGATTCTTCCTCCCAATGTATTCCCAAGTCGCGCTCTCGCGCGGGACTGCTTCACAACTTCTACAGGAAACGCGCTCTTGCGATGGACTTCCTTGGATTTTTTTCAAACGCCGCGCCCTCGACACTCAGGAATCACGCTCTCACCGTGGATTTCCTCACGATTTTTTTGGAAATCGCGCTATCGCTCGAAACTTCTCGCGATTCATGCAGGACGCTTGCTTCAGCAACCCGCCTGCCCTTTGTCCCTTCCTTCCATCCGTCCTCGCTTCCCTTTCCTTAGGGGCTGCGCGAACGAAGAAGGCGGATATCGAGGGTTTGGGATGTACGTGTTGACTGGCCAGCGAGCAGGTAAGGGCGAACAGTTTTACAATGATTGTTGATGTTGGCCAGTTATCATGCCAGTCGCCGGAGCCTTCCCTCTCTGTCACTTCCTCTCCCTCATTCCCTCCGTTTCCTTCCTCTTCTCCTTCTTACACGCCAGCTTTCTCGCCTGCTTTCACGCCAGGTTCCTGTTCTGTTTCCGGCGGCTCGCCAGCTTTCCTGCTCTGTTCCTGGCGATTCTGGCGGAATTTGGCGCAGACTTCCGAACGGGCGCCCTCGTCTGAGACATCGTCGGCAAGTCGAGACCCCCAGGCCGTTTTTGGGTCCGTCGACGACGACGACAACGACGGCGGTGGCGGCAGCAGAGGCGGCGGCGACGTCGACGACGAAGAGGATGAGCCCCAGTGCCGTCAGAAAATGGCCGACGCAAAAGCGGTCCTCGGGAAGGAGTCGAAAGCCTAGGGGGTAAGCTCTGAAGCTTTTCTCAGAGGCTCTGGGTGCTCTCCGTGGGGCTGTCCCAGAGGTCTTAGGCCACTCAGGCGTCGCGATACCTGGAAGCAGCATCCCGGGCAGGGAGATCGCGAAGGCGACGTGCCATCCTGGCTGGAGATGTCGAGGTGTTTCGGAAGAAGTGTTGTCAAGACTTCCTCGGGCGGGATATCAGGAAGGGGAATATCGGACCCTCGCGCGCAGCGAACAATTTTCCATGAGGGGGATGTATCATGATGGATGCATGCTTCGCATAGAAGCATAGAGCATTCGGGTAACATGGTTGTTGTTTTTGTTGTTGTTGTTGTTGCTGTTACTGTTGGTTTAATTTTCACTTATGAAAGAAAGTATTGGTGACCCTCTCCCTCCAGTGACCATTGTATTTCTTGAATTGAAGTGCTTCCCCAGTTTTTTTTTTTTTTTTTTTTTTTTTTTTTTTTTTTTTTTTTTTTTTTTTTTTTTTTTTTTTTTTTTGTTTTTTTTTTTTTTGTTTGTTTTTTTTGTTTTTTGTTTTGATGTATTCTTTTTTATTGTTGAACAATGAGGGACAGTCACAGGGCTCAAACTGTGTTGTTGGCCCCCGGTTTGCAACGATAGCTGCTCCCGCCTGATGTTTCTTCACAATTTATTCCCAACTCGCGTTCTTGTGCGGGACTTCCTCGCAATTTGTATACGAATCGCGCTCTCGCGTGGGATTCCCCGCAGTTTATTCAGACGATGCGCTCTCGGCGCTCAGGAATCACGCTCTCGCTTTGGCTTTTCTCACGATTTACTTGGGAATCGCGCAATCGCTCGAGATTTCCTCGCGATTCATGCAGGACCCACGCTTCAGCAACCCGCCTGCACGACCTGGTCGCCTGGGTCCGCCTTCCCGAACTGTCCGCTATGGGTCTGCCCACCCGATCTGTCCGTATGGTTCTACCAGTTGTTTTCTGCTCCTAACCCCCCTCCTAATTTCTCTCGTGCTCCATTCTTCTCCCTCGCCCTTCCACCCGTCG